CTCACTGGAGGGCTGTGTAAGCATTTATTTTTGTTTCTTCCTAGAATTTTTATAGCTTCATGATACATTTAAATGTTTAGTGCATCTGGAATTTGTTTAGGTGTAAGGTGTGAGATAAAAATCTAGCTTAATTATTTTTCCAAGTGGTTAGCCAGTTGTCTCAGCACGATTTCTGAAGGATCTGTTCTCCCCACCCCACCCCCCTTACCCCACTTTCTTATACTCTACATTCACATAAATGTTTGGCTCCGTCTATGGATTTTCTTTTTAGGTTTCAACGTTCAGCTTGCCTAGGGTGGCACTAATCATCCATACACTGTTTCAATTACTGTAAAACTCCCCCTTAAAAAATACATCTTAAAATCAGCTAGGGCAAGTTTCCACATTTTTCTTGGCTATTCTTGCATGTTTATTCTTCCATATGAACTTTAGGATCATTTTGTTAACTTAAAACCTCCCACTGGAATTTTCATGGGGATTATATCAAATGTAAGCAATAATTTGAAGACAGTTGATGTCTTTACCAGGTCATTCTATTTAATAGTAAGAGTGATACAAATTAATTAATACTAGCAGCGAACACTGGTGGTCTGCTACCCGTGTGCCGGACCCTCTTCAAAGGCCTGTCCATTCAAACCTCACAACAACTCCTGATAGAGGAGTGATTTCTGTCCTCCCGATTTTACAGATAGGGGCATGAGCCACGGAGGTATGGAATCAGTTATCCGTGAGCACACGGTTAGACCTGACAGCACCCGGATTTCCTCCCCCGTGATCTGGCTTCAGACCTGATGCTACTATCCCACAAGTCCATCCTGTTTCCATTTACTCAAGAGTCTTTCTATCCACAGCATTTTGCAACTTTTCTTCAAAAACTTGGTTAAATGAGTTCTTATTTATTGTTACTGTCTTTTCCCCATTATGTGTTCGAATTGGCCCTTGCTGAATTCTGACAAAGCTGCGATGGTTATGCAAGTGAGGCATTTATTTTGAAATCATCCAGTTCACTGGTCTTCACCCAACAGTTGGCTCTCATTGGTTTTCCAGGAAGACACAGGTTAAGGCGATGGCGCAGGTTAAGGCGATGGCGGTTGGCTCTCCCTTTCCTGTATGACTAACTCTCCTTCATTTTCTTGCTTTATTGCAATGTCCAATATAGCAGTCACTAGTGGCCTGTGACTATTTAAAATATATAGGAATTAAAATTAGGGAACAGTCAAAATCCAGTTTCCCAATGATACTAGCCAGGTTTCATGGGCTCTCCAGCCACACGTGACCAGTGGCTACCATATTGGTCATCACAACAGAGCCTTTCCACCATCAGAGAGAGCGATACTGGATAGCACTGCTACAACTTTTAGATCCATGTCAAATAATGGTGGTGAAAGGGTTGTCCTGATTTTCCCCCACCCTGGTGGTGCTGTCAGGTAAGTGTTGAAATACTATGCACAAGGTCAGGGGTTCAAACCCACCAACTATAGTTAAGGCTATTTGCTCCTGTGAAGATTGAAAGCCCAGCAAATCCTACATAGGGTGACTGTGGGTCAGGATGAACTAACTGGCTTCATGGGTTACTGCTGGACTACTATCCACAAGGTTAGCAGTTCAATCCCACCAGGCACTCTATGGGCATGTGTGTATGAATATACATGTGTATAATACTCTGTATCTTAATTTTACTAATACATTAAAAAAAATTTTTACTGATATACTCAAAGACTTGGAAAACCTTTCTCTACAACACTCTATATCTTTAGTTTTTCTTAATTCATTCAAAGACTTGGAAAATTATACCAATATTTCCTACTAGTATATCTAATTTTTCAACATATTCTCTCATATTTGACAATTTTCCTTCATATGTTTTTTTTACTATATTAACTGTGACCAACCCTGAGACTGATGGTGCAGTGGGTGAAGAGTTGGTGGTTAACCACAAGGTCAGTAGTTTGAAGCTGCCAGCTGCGCTGTGGGAGAAAGCAGAGACTTTATGCTCAGGCACAGATTTACTGTCTCAGAGATCCACAGGGCAGGTCAACTCAGTGAGACAGGGTCACCATCAGTCTGAATCGACTCAGGGTCAATGAGTATCAAGCCCTCAGCTCTTGGCTTCATTCTATGATGGGCCCTTGAAGTAGTCTTTTTCCTGATAGTAATAATAGCCCTCGTCTTCTCTTTCGCTACAACATATCATGTCGCATTCAGATCAGAAAGGAACATCTTGAAAAGGGGAATATGTAATATGAAAATGAAAACAGATGGCAATTTTATTCTTGGAATCTAGTGATGGGAAAGGGAAATGGGAAAAGTAAAGGGATTGAAACTTGATTTAATGGAGGAATCAACTGTTATAGTCTTCAGGTTGATAAAATAATAAAACTGTGCGGCATTTTAACATTTATTTATCTTGTCTATCCTGTATAATTTCCTGTGCATATTATTTTCAGAGTGAAAATTAATAGGTGCATTAATAAAGCCATGTGCTTTCTTCAAACAGCTAGTATTTCCCCTTTAGTTAGAATATTTCTAATAGTTATATACTTGGATTCAGGAATGCAACTAGCTGGGTATAATATGATCTATTTACTGGCTTCCTGGTCTCCAAAGTGACGGCACTGGGGAGGGTGCACAACTGGGTTTGTGATTTAAGCCAAATATCTATCCCAATAGCTTCTCCTTCTATTTGAATCTGTGTGAGATGGGGGCATTCTAAGTGTGTGCTTGCAAGTATATATATAAGGAAAGAAAGAGAGGGGGGAGAACGAGAACAGGTTCATTTCCTAAGAAAAACGTTTTTATGGAAAAATATGCTTTCCAAATGTCCCTCTTCACATCCACCGTAAATCTTCATTTCATCTCATTTTGATGCAGCATCATGGAGCAACCTTTTAAGCAATGGAAAATAAGAG